GAGCCACATCCCCAGCACTATTTTATTTAGAGACAGGGCCTCACTGAGTTGCTTTGCACCTCACTTTTGCTGAGGCTAGCTTTGAACTCTTAATCCTCCTGCCTTGGCCTCCCAAACCGCTGGGATTACAGGCATGGGCCACTGCACCTGACCACAGAGGGCTTTTACAGAGGTGATTCAGGGAAAATGAGATTAGGGAGGGGATATCAGTAAGGAAAAGATCAGGGAAGAGAGTTTAGGGAAAAGAAGATCAGAGAGAAGTTTGGGAAAGTTCGGGAAAAAGAAAAAACATGTAAGTTTCAAAGCGACAAGAGATATAGTCAAAGCATCAAGTGGACTCTGTTACAGTTGCACTCCTGTTTCTTACTTTAAAACCCTGTATGTGATTGCACCAGCACAGAACCCAGGAGGACACTGACCTAGACACTGCTGGCCAGGGGGCATCTTGAATCTGTTTATCAGATTGGTTGGGGAGCCCAGCAACATTCCATGTGCTGGTCTATTTTGAGCAACATCCCCAAGACAAATAAGATCCAAGCATTAGGGGATGGGGTTTAAGAACACATTGTCTCTTCTTGCTTACCTTTCACAAGGGCAAAAAAGGAAGCTGTTTACACATAAAGGTTTGTTATTATTATGACCTAGCAATGCAAGAACACTTAGCAGAGTCACACTGCCCTGGTTCAACTGCCCATTCCTAATATCTTATCAGCTTTGTGGAACATTCCAGAATCTCTCCATGCTTTTGTTTTGTTTTGTACTGGGGATTGAACCCAGGGGCACTTTAACACCAAGCTACATCCCTGGTCCTCTTTATTTTATTTTTATGCAGAGTCTTGCTAAGTTACCAAGGCTGGCCATGACTATCAATCCTTCTGACTCAGCCCCCTGAGTACCTGGGATTATATGCATGCACCACCACACCCAGCCCTCATCTTTAAAATATCCATGGATCCAAGTTTTAGGAAGCCAATAAACAATCATTCTGCCCCTTCTGAGGCCAGAACTGAGAAATAAAAGTGGAGATACAGATCAGTGATAAAGCCCTTGCCAAGCACGCACAAGGCTGTGAGTGCTATCCCCAGCTCTGCAAAAATAAAAAACAAAAAAGACAGAAAGGTAGAGATCAATGTCATCTTTATTACTAATAAATGCTGTGCTGGAAGATGTGGCTGAGGCGAAAATACTTCACCCAGTCGGTAACACAGTGGGCAACTGCAGACAGCAGATAGTAGTGTTACCGCTGTTGACCGGAGTTCTTGCTTCCCCAATGTTGAAGAATAACACCAAAGAAGCACGCCGAGGCAAGGTCAGAGTAGAAATTAGAAGTTTATTAAAGGACAGCAGAAAAGACTTCTCCCGGAGGAAGAAGGGGACCCAAGAGGTGGAGTCCGTGGAAGTGGGGTTGTCTCTCCATTTTATAGTTTCTTTCAGTGATGGAATGTAGGTGGGAAGGCCCAGGGGTGGGACACAGGTGGGCCAAAGAAGTAGTCTGAGCAGGAAGGACTTCATTAACACTTCTTTGGGATGGACTTTAGCCTAGGGCCTTTTCGGGACTTCATTAACATTCCATGAGTTGTCCTGTGCTTTCCCTGAGTCATTCTCCGCATGGTCTCCATTTTAGATTTCACTCGATATTAGACCCGATTTATCTAACTACACTGACTACCTAACTTTAAATCTGGCTTCATTAGCACACCCTGTTCAGTTGGGCATGGTGCTCTAACCCAGAACTGAACCTTCCCAGAAAGCCACTACTCAGGGAAATCCCCCTCTTGCTGTGGGGAAGAGTGAGAGGTGGATGAAAACTAGATAATCTCTCCACCTTTTGTCCTCCACACTCGGCCTTACTGGGGAGTAGAGTTGGGGATCTACCTGCCCACCTTGAAAATATGAGAATGGGTAATAAGTGATTCCCTCAATCCCATCTCATGCGGTTAATATGGAGATTAGAGAAAAATACAGAGAGTGTCTGGAACAGACTCCAGAAAGATTTCTTACCAGCCTGGGTTGTTCTAGGCTGGTAAGTCCAGCCAGACGGACAACACTGGCCAACTAAGGGAAGGTGTGGTTAGAGAATGTAGGAGGCAAGGAAGTGTTTTTGTTGGCTTTTTCGTTTGTTTGTTTTGTGATACTGGGGATTGAACTCAGGGCACTCTACCACTGAGCCATAGCTCCAGCTCTTTTTAGTTTTTGAGACAGGGTCTCACCAAACAGCCTAGGCTGGCCTTAAACTTATGATCTTTCTTCCTTAGCCTCCTAAGTCACTGGGATACAGGCATGGGCCACCACAACCAGCACAAGGGAGTTTCTTTCTTTCAGTTCTTGGGATTGAAACCAGGGGTGCACTACACTGGAGCCATATCCCCAGCGCTTTGTATTTTTTGAGACAGGATCTTGCTTAAGTTGACCAGGAACTTGTGATCCTCCTGCCTCAGCCTCCTGAGTTGCTGAGATTACCTAGAACACTGTGCCCAGCACAGGGGAGTTTTCTAAAGGGTGGGGGCGGGGGGGGGGGGTTGCACTTTCATTTCTCTATCTGTTCCCTACACTCAGGAAAGCTTGAGCGTTCCTTAATACTGATAAAATATGAACTGGCAAGACTTCTAAATAAGAAAAGAACCCCAAAACTGTGTATCTTTGGTAACATACCAACCCAGTGTCTTCTGAGTATAGTTAATGGCCGCCTTTATGGGTGTGTGTGCTATTTCAGTTGTTTTAGGGTGGGGTGTTTTTTAGAGGGTGGAGAGGAAAGGACTCTTGTGTTTTTTTCAAGGCAGGCTCCCTCCTCACCCAGTGATTAAAACAATCACTGGCCTGGAAGTCACTGGAAGCAAACAGGAACCAGCCCAGGGGAAAGCCCTGACCAGTTACTGAACAATATAGCAATTGCAGTGAGTGCGACTAAGAAGACAGGAAATAACAGGTTATCCTGATAACATGCCTTACTGGTATGTTGCAGGTCTGGGTGCAATGTATCATCAAGGCTGTACTTTCCACCTGATCTGCCTCAGCCAATCCCAGGTCATCTACCAGATGGAGCAAGGCTGCTGGTTCTGTGGACATCACAAAAGCCCAGGGCAAGAGGAAGCTGTTGGTCTGTGAGCCTGATGGTTCCCTTCCCTGTGCTTAGTCATCTCTTCAGTGGGGCACTAAGAGAACACCTGCCTGAGTTTCTGGAATACATGGAAAACCCCAGCAGCCTGCATCCCTGACAGGTTTTACCTGGGGTAATCCCTTTAACGGAGACATCACCCTTGGCATTTCCAACTGAAACATCTTTAGATCCTCCTCTCCTCAAGGGTCAATGGACACAGAGGGAGCAGGCTCCTAAGCTCACACAAGTTCCACGCACTTACACAAGATTTTCCGTGAATATTGAGGCTTGCTAATTTAGCAATAATAATACCTAGTGCTCAGGCATTATATTAATTTTCACAGTAGGAAGTAAGAGTTGTTGTTACCCACATTTTACAGAGGGCAAATTAAGACACAGAGAAGCCAAGTGGTGTTCCCATGGTTTCCAACTATCTGCTGCGTCCACATGTTTAGTTCAGAAGGAGGAAATTAATACTTTTCCCATAATTTGTTCTCCATGACTCAGAAAATATAAGATCTGGAAAAGGCCCTAGAGATAACGGAATGTAACCTTTACAGCTGGGATGTAGTTCAGTAGCAAAACGCTTGTTTCCCATGTGTGAAGCCCCAGGTTCAATCCCTAGTACCCTGCCCCCCCCCCCAGGGGTGTAATCTCTGATTTTACTGATGAAAAAAAATCTTAGATCTGGGGTTATTTGTCCCAGTGTTACCGCTGTTGACCGGTGACGAGTCCTTGCTTCCCCAGTGTTGAAGAATAACACGAAAGAAGCATGCCCAGGCAAGGTCAGAGTAGAATTTAGAAGTTTATTAAAGGACAGCAGAAAAGACTTCTCCTGGAGGAAGAAGGGGACCCAAGAGGTGGAATCCATGGAAGTGCGGTTGTCTCCCCTTTTTATAGTTTTGGTGATGGAATGTAGGTTGGAAGGCCCCAGGGGTGGGACACAGGTGGGCCAAACAAGTAATCTGGGCAGGAAGGACTTCATTATCACTTCTTGTGATGGGCTATCTTCAAATCTGCTGGGGGCTATTTCCTGGGTTCCATTAACATTTCTTTGGGGTGGACTTTGGCCTAGGGCCTTTCCAGGACTTCATTAACATTCCATGAGTTGTCCTGCGGTTCCCGGAATCATTATCAGCATGGCCTCCATTTTAGATTTCACTCGATATGATATTAGACCCGATTTACCTAACTTCACCGACTACCTAATTTTAAATCTGGCTTCACCAGTTCCACCATAAAATCACAAGCAAGCCTCAAAACTCCCTACTTCTGTGCCTCTCCCATGACATATTCCCCACCTTTTCCCTCCCAGAAATCACACTCTTGAAATTGTCTTATTACTACTATTATTATTTACTTTTCAGTTCTCCATGGGAATTCCCATTTTCTTTCCCCATCAACATTTTTTTAAAGGAAGAGGGTGAGTGTAAGGGAGGGAAGTAGGAGAGAAAAGAAAAGAAAAAAGAAGAAAAAGTCCCATCTGCGTGTTAATATAAAACCAGAAATCTGCATTATTAGATTGCCGGAAAGCATTGAGCCCTCATCAAAGAAGGCTGCTCAGACCTTCAGAACTGTGGTTTTGCCCTCAACCAACATGGTGAACGCGCATGACGTAGACATAGACTTCCGTCGCGCTCTCTCTACCTACCCGCTCTTCCCAAGGGGGCGGCGAACTTCAATGACGGCTGCAGGCGGGGCGCATGCGCGGCGGCGGAGCCCGGCCCGCGGTGGTGGCGGTGAAGGGGCGTAGGGGATAGCTGTCCGCAGTTGCCAAGCTGCGGTGACTGAGGCGGGATGGTGTAGCCAGGCCTGCAGGCGGGAGGGTGGGGGTGGGGGCGAGTCGGCCGAGGACGGCCGACGCCGCCCTACGGGCTCGGGTGTAGCGGCAGCACGCTGAGGGGGCGTCGCCGCCGCCGGCCCCCGGAGCCGCCGCGGGAGGCCGCGCCCGCCATGGCGGCCCGGGCGGTGCTGGACGAGTTCACGGCGCCCGCCGAGAAGGCGGCGCTGCTGGAGCGGAGTCGCGGCCGAATCGAGGGCCTGTTCGGAGTGAGCTTGGCGGTGCTCGGCGCGCTCGGGGCTGAAGAACCGCTGCCCGCGCGCATCTGGTTACAGCTCCGCGGGGTGCAGGAGGCGGTGCACAGCGCCAAGGTGAGTTCGGCCTCCGCCCCCGCGCGCCTTCCTTCCCGGGCCTGGCCCGCGGCCTCAGCCGGGCCAGTCTCCCCTCCCTCCCTCCCTCCCTCCACCCACCCTGACCCCAGCGCTGAGGTTGAGAGCGCAGTGTTGGGAGCCGGCGAAAATTGCTTTCTCGCGGCACATCAACCATGTGACCTTGTGCTAGCGGTTTAATCCCAGGAGCCTCAGTTTCTCTATTGGTAAAGTGGTGCGGTGGAAGCACCTACCTTGGAGCATTGTCGCGCGGATGGAAGTGGGTGATAGGTATAAAGCACAGGGCACTGTGTTTAACCGGGAAACGTTGCCTGTTATCTGTAGCCGCCTCCTGGATGTGCGTAAGGCCCGCAGCTCCAGGTTCACAGTGTGTTTGTTTTCATCCAGACCTCCTCCATAGGGGGTTCTTGAACCTTGTAGGGTCTCAGTCCCTCTTGAGGATCAGGAAAAAACCGTGATAGTAAATATTCAGAGACTGTCGAGAAGTAGGGTATTTAATCAGAATGTTTAAAATAATATTATTCCTTGGGTTAATGTTATGCACAGCTAACATTTGTATAATGTTGTTGCATATCAGACATTACTCCGAATACTTACGGAATAATGCAGCCCTTTAAAAAAATCCAATGAGGTAGCTTTTTATGTCCTCCCTTTTTTCTTGTTAAATTATCAGCTGGGGAAACTGAAACTTGAAGTGGTGACTCACCTTGTATCTAAATCAGCATTTTAGACTACTTCTTCCCATACCTCTCCTTTCTTCCCTTCCCAAGCCAAAAACAAAATACGACCTGTGTAGGGGAGAAAAAAGCTTTTTACCGACTGGAGGTTCTGTAATTCAGCCTACAAAAAGATGGCTGAGTAATTGAAATAAACTTGACAGTAAACACATTAGCAGGAGAAAAACCTTTTTAATCATGCATATATGCAAAGGAGTACCACAAAGTATGATTGGGAACAAGAGCCAGGTGATTGAAGTTTTGTAGCATCCTGAGCTACAAGAGTAGTAGGAGCTTGTGGTTTTAGGTGATGGTTTCCTCTATAGCGGTATTTGGACATTTTTGGAAGGTTTGCCTTCAGTCAGATCAGGAAACTTCTGAGAAAGCCCCTCCCTTCATATGCTGTTCCTCAGGTGCTCTCAATTTGAAGTAATCAATATACTAAAGTGGCTTAAATAAGAACGATATTTCCTGAACCCCTTCACCCTCCAAGGTACCCGAGTTTCTCCAAATTTTCCCATTTATAGTAGGGCAGCAATATTCAGAAGTAGGGAGTTTGTTTCCAGAGCCCATGTTCTTGATAATTGCCTCTCAAATGATTTCTCTGGGGATGGGAGTAGGTCCTTTTATTGCCTATTTCACAGTGCTCTTGAAGATCTGAATAGTCCTGACATTCGTGGATTTAACAACAAAAATCTTAGATGCTTACTTTTTAACTTGTGAAGCTGCAGTAGGACATTTAACTGTTGAGTCTTCTCCATAGCTTATCTTAAAAAGTAAGTGTTGAATCAAGTTTGCATTTCTGTGCTACTAATTTCTTATTAAGTTGACTTTCTATTTTGTACAACTGGTCTAATTTCTTCCCATACCTCTCCTTTCTCCCCAGCTGCCTAATTTCTACTACTCAGGGCTGAAAAGTTCAACATGACTGACTTTCCTGTTGTTTCTGAATTATCTTACCTGTATTCATTCTCCTTTCCATTGTCTTTGCTGTGATTAAGACCTTCATTTTTGGTATGTGTCCCCTCCCTTGCTTCAATGCCTTTACTCTATGGCTCCCTCACTTTCTGGGGAGCTGCTGGAGCCTCCTATCACCTAGCTCATTCAGTCTGAACTTGAACTAAGAAAATACTCCCTACTAATCCAGCCCCATCTTATTTTCCTAATTTTCTGTTATAGCAGCTCTTTACTTAAACCTCCACTGTAGTCTAGACTCTGCCCTTGCTGGGTGTTTTTGCCCACTCCTGGTTCTGCTTTTACTGAAAGCAGCCCAAGGATAGAAAGTACTCCCTTTGCTATACGGAAAAGCCCTGCCCATTCTGCCAGGCCCTTCCAACTGCAGTTCTCTTGGCAATTACTACCATACAGGTTTAGCATAAAGTAATTTGAAAAGTTCTATCTTACATAACTTTTGATAGCATGTGTCACCTCATAGTCCAACTCTCTCACATGTAAGAAATCCTTTTTCTCTCTTCCTTGAGATGCAGAGTAAGGAGCTGATGCCATGTTCAGGCTTTTTTTGTTCTTGATTGTTTGGAAGTGTGTTTTACATTTTTGGAGGAAAAAACATTAACTTAACTTTAAAAGTTAAGAACAGAGAGCCAACTTGATTTAACATCACAGTGTTTTAAGTTTAGCTGTTGAGAAACTGGTTGGGGAGAGGGAAAAGAGAGTAAAGAAGAGTTTTAATTATTTATTTATTGCAGGGCTGGGAAACCAACTCGGGTCCTCATCCACATACCACTAAGCCACATCCCCCCTGCCTAAGAATTATCTGGTATAGTCTCTGATCAGAATAAGAAGAGATGAACTGATTTAAATCGTGTCCCACCTGGTGATTTACTTTTAAAATGTTAATTCACTACCTTTGCAAATTTTTGAGGAGAATGTTGAGGATTAATTAGGCCTTCATTCACTGGAGAGAGGCAAGTTGGGAGCTATTGGTAGAAAGTGGTAGTGCCTGCAGAGTTCAAAAAAAGGCACTGAGAGTGGCCAGCTTTGGACTTTGAGCCTGGAAGATTTTAGGTACTTGCATTCCAGATTGAGGTGGTTATGAGCAAAAGCTTGGAAGCCAGACTGATTTAGTAGTAAGTCTCAAGGACCCCCTGGGAGAGATGAATGCCAAGGGACCCAAGAGCCATGCCAGGACCCTTAGATTTTATCTAGTAGGGAGTCAGGATTTTGAGAAGAAAAAATTTGCCTGCTTTAGAATTAGGAAGATCCAACAGTGGTAGGAATATCATTCCAAGTTAGAGTTTGCATTGTTGGAGTGGGTAAAGTTTTTTCACAGATTTTGAAACTGAGTGGATGTAGAGATTTAGGGATAGATTTTAAGTCCTGGTTGCAGGAAGAATGGTTGATGTGTGTGTCCTGTTGGTTGGTGGGGCTCACCAGGTAGTTCACATTTAAGAAAAGCTCATGTGCATTCGCTATTGCTGTTTCACCTCAAGGAGCCTGCAGTCTTGTAGGGGAGACAAATATGGAAACAAACAGGACAGTGTGATACATCTAGCAGTTGAAGAGTGCAAGGTGTTATAGTAATACAAGGAAGGAAGGTTTGCTGTCCTCAACTAAGTTCTAAAGGATGAATGAGAGTTTTCTAGAGGATGTTGAGTTTCTGGCAGAGGAAAGAGCACACACAAAATCACAGGAATAGCCAGGCATGATGCATTCCTGTAATCCCAGCAATTCAGCAGGCTGAGGCAGGAAGATAACAAGTTCAAAGCCAGCCTCAGCAACTTAGTGAGACCCTAAGCAACTTAGCAAGACCCTGTCTCAAAATATAAAAAATGGAATGTGGGTCAGTGGTTAAGTGGCCCTGGGCTGGGTTCAAGTCTCAATGCAAAAAAAAAAAAATCACAGAATATGAGAGTGTAATTGCATTAGTTTCCTTAAGTGTTGAGAGAGTACGGAGGAAATTGTTAGAGGTAGAAAGGAGTGGGGCACATGTGTTTGGGGCCTGCTGAAGAACATGGATTTTTTTAACATGCAGGTGGACAGTGGAGACCCCTGAACATGAGTGATGCAGACAGCAATATTCTTACAAATGCTTCAGTGTTCACCACTCTGGGCTTGTGTTCCATTGATGGTTTGTAATAAGTACAGAAGGTTTAGCAACTTTCATAGCATTCTGTCTTTACTTCAGGGACTGGAGAGACAATGTATGAAAGTGAGAGGAAAACCAGAAGAGAGTATTGTCCACAGGGGGCCCACAGAGGGAGCTGATGTCAGTGGTAGAAGACTAAATGGAAGCAAAGGAGATTGAATTTCAGAGAGGAAGGGAGGTAGTAACCACCTCATGCAAAAGGAAAGAGATTAAAGATGTAAAGCGGTGTGGGAATTCTCTTCATAGGCAGTGGTGGAAAGGGATGTTGTTGAGGAGATCTCTGCTGGGGAGTGAGATACTTTCTTTTCCATGAGAGAGTCACAAATATAGCTAGCACTCCCTGGTACCAGACAGAGAATCAGCCTAGGAAGTGACTGGATAGTACAGAAGAACTGGTGAGCTAAGGCTGTCTGCCCTGCAGGAGAGGGCAAATGCTCATGCATAGTATCAGACAGTTACACCGTGTAGGTTCATTATCCACAAGCCTTTGGGAGTCTAGATTTCATTGTGTACAATCTAATGTGTGTTTTTTTTTTTTAAGTGGCAACTAATTTATGTTTTTAAAATCACCCATGCTGTGAATTATATAAAATTTTGCATCAATACTTTTTAAAATTTTATATTGTTAAAAGCAAAATTAAAAACAATTATGCATGCTAAACAAAACATGTTAGTGAACCAGATTCAGCTTTTGAACTGCTTTTTTATGATTCCTACTTTAATAGCAGACAGGATTAGTAAGCTAGCACCTTTTAGTTTTTGGTTTTTTGGGCTTGGAGAAGAGGGCACTTGAAAGCCCTAATGGCCTACAGTACTGTCTCAGTAAAGTAAAATGCTAGATCATCCCCAGAGAATGAGGGTGAGAGATTGTGCCTCAGTCTGGCTGGGCACAAATGCTGCAGTCTGGCTGGGCACACAATCACGAGCCACCACACAGCTTGTAGATTCAAACAGCAACTCTTTATTTCCGAACTCACACCAGCCGTCTACAAACACGTTCTGGGGAAATCCACGTTCTCTGCCCAAATCCACCTCCACTGGGCTTCTGTCTCCCAAAATATACTGTCTGAATCCCGTGAGAACTCAAGGGGAACTCAGGCAGCAGGATACGCCCTATTCCCAGCAGGAATAATCTTAAACCTGGAACCTAAACCGGGAAC